GAAAAACAGATGTTAATGTGCTTTGCCTTTCTTAAGGTAGGCATTGAATAGTGCACGAGGAAGTTATATAACATTATTGTATGGCTGCCCAGTGCATTGGGAAGTTTAAAGCCTTGGGGGTCATCCTGAAATGCAGAAACCTAAAAGGAAATTCTGCACCTCCACTATCTATGTGTAACTGTACAGCTGTATAGAAACACAAAACACTGAGAATTATTGATTTTAGATAACTCAATGTATGCCGTTAATTTATGCATGCGCATATTTATAAAGCTATAACAGTTTTTTCGCTGTAAGTGTTGCTTATGGTCATAGTTATGTTAGGACAAAAAATAAATTCTCAAGCTTGACAAAGACCTCTTAGCCGGTCGAAACGTTGCTGCTCTTTTCTGTTCTATTAAAACTGCCTGTGGCTTGAACACCTTGAGTGCCTGGAGAGTTTCTGTTTTGCCTTATCGTTGTGGGATTGCTGGTTATGATCCGGAGCACTGGGTGGCTGCTGGGATTGAGTGCGGCTCCTTTCTTCATTATTGCAACATAGTTATGTTAGGAGTGACGGCATATGCTGTTGTAGTATGAATATAATTTTACATCCATTTTAAATAATAGTACGTTTCAGAAGTAGGTTTAGTTTCTTCTCACAGACATTGTTGTAATAACCTAAAGGAAACACTATGATGTTAGAAATACACATGTATTCCTAAAGCTATAGTGCCCTAGACCATACTTAAATTCAGCCCTCACCCCATAGCCCTCATTTTTAAAATACCTTTTTTCTGCACTGAAACATGTTTTTTTTTGAGGAGGGGAGGCATTGGAGGTGGGGGGGTAAGGGGAGGGTAATGTTTTTTATCTAAAATTATGTCCTCCAGATACTGTAGGGACATTTTATACAAAGAAAGTGCCACTTCCAGGGACAGATCATTTAAAAAAAAAAAAAAAAAGCTCCAGTGTTCTAGGTGTAAGTGATTTGAGGTACCTGTGGAGACTCCATGCTGTGTTATAGATTTGTTGGGTTTTTTTCCCCTCTGTTCCTGTGCAATAATTTAATATAATTGAAGAAGACATTAAACTGTGTCTACGAGCCACCGGCAGTTCACTACTGCCATTTTTAAGATGATGGAATAGTTTAGTAGTAATGTCTTTTGGTTGTGATGCCAGTGACACAAGTTCAATTCCAGTGTCAGAAGCACAGAGAGATAATGAGATTTCCTACGTCGCCCTGGATGGACAGCAAAATTGTGGCAGAGGCATTACGAAGCTGATGTGCTGTAGACATGACTTTTCCTCCACTGAAATATTGAAAAGAAACAGTCTTGAAGAATATTCTATCGATGTTGCCATGCGTACTTGCTTAGCTATCTCTCTTTATGTCATTTAAGAAAGTAAAAAAACAAAAACGATGAAACAATATTCAATAAAATAAGAGGGTTTTGCATGTTACGTGTTGAGTTAACTATTATTTTTTCACTGAGTCACAACAATACTCTCGTACTTTGAGACTAGACTGCACAGCGATCTATTTATGGATCTGTATTAAATCACCACATCTGGATTCTCTTTTATTATAGCTCTGTACAGCTCCAGCTGATTCACCAGGTAATCATATGCTGGGTTTATAAAAAGTAGAAAAAAAAATATTCCTGAGTTTTAGTTCCGCAACTTGTAGGTAGTAGAGACAAAATGTGAATATGAACCAGAAATGTACCACTGTGCAAGGAACACAGCAAATACAAACATTAACAAACAACAAGCAACCTTCACAATACCTTCTTTTTAATATTTCAGTGAAAGAAAAGGAATGTTATCTTCTATCAGCTTTGCAGTGGCTGCATCCTCTGTCTCAATTTTGTTGTCCTTTGAGAATGTTATGGGAAATGTCATTATCTAACTGCTCTTCTGCCGCTAGATTGGAACTATTGTCAGTAACATGACCACCGAGACTCTACTTCCAAATTGTTTCATCATCTTAAAATGACACTGGCCGCCTGCTAGATGAAATAAGGGGAAGATATATACTGCTTTGAATTTGTACCTGAAGATTTTCTACTCGACAAAGGGAAATAAAATCCAGGATACAATTCTCAGGTCAACCAACTAATATAGAAAAGGCATCATTGTGTCCATGTGACTGTTTGTTTTTGTATCAAAAATGATGTTCTGTACTTTGGTAGTGCAGGGTTCCAGCTAACTTCTACCTAGAGGTAGAATGTTTCTCAATACACATTGTACACACTTCTCCTCCACCAGTCCCTGCTCACAATTCACCAAAATATACAAGGGCATCTTTTGTGAGCGTAGACATGTTGATTTTCTCCAAGCTCCCTCACAAAGTGCTCTTGGGGCTTTAGTTACAAGGACAATTCCAACTGTTTCTTCTGATCAAGTAAATTAAGGCACCAATATGTATCATGTACAGTGGATTGGAATGGGTTATAAACCATCCATCGTAAAAACACAAAAAAGTCAAATGTCTGGTGTTCATAACATTATTCATACTGGAATAAGCATTCTTCTGGGTGTAAAAATACAGCAGAGTATAGACAAGTATTTTAGCTAAGCCTTGGAGCATAACAGGGCCTGATAACCTAATTCAGCTAATGCAGCTCTGTTTGATAACCCCTCCACCGGCAGCAACACAAATATCAACTTGTTTACTGACAGCAGAGGGAATTACCGCAAAGCCTGGAGCACACAGGATTAGTAATGAGAAAAACAAAGGAGGGATTTTATTTTAACTGTTTCCCAGACACATAGGAAGAAAGCACTGCAAATGAATCCACATATCCGCTTTTTGTGTATGTCCAGCTTCAACCCACCTTCTGTTGTTGGCACAATATTCACTCTTTCCTTGGTTGACAGAAGACTAAAGGAAATGTAGTGCCATTGATGTGGAACCATATTCAGACGTACCTGGCATTTTCACACCTGCATGTATCCTTGTTATATAGAATGATCATTTTATATAAATGCACTTTTAGTGTTTTTTACCAGCATTACAGAATCCAGTACTGTTGTCTTAATCATTTCACTGTTATTACTACATATTTGAACTGTTAGAATTGTGAAAGAAAGTCGACTAAAAAAATGTCTTTTGCACTTCTGCGTCCCCAGATTTACATTGGAGCAATCATCCCTTTGGGAGCAGCTGAGAAGGATGGACGACTTCGTGCTGCAGATGAGCTAATCTGTATTGATGGAGTCCCTGTAAAAGGAAAGTCCCACAAACAAGTGCTGGATCTAATGACCAACGCAGCTCGAAATGGCCATGTGTTGCTTACAGTACGAAGACAGATGTATTACGCTGGTATGAAAGATTTTCACACATCTAAGAGTAATGCTTTGAGTGCCTTATTTTCGTTCTTTTATTTAAGATTGAGTACCAGATTGAGTTAAAACCATGTTTGTGCCTTTTAGTGACTAATTTCAAGATAGAGTTTTAGCTGGAGTTTTTAAAGTGGGCTTCTACTTGATGTATATTGTATACATTAAATGGTTGAAGTTCGTGATTGTTTGCCTTTGCTTAAATTACCTTCTGCTCAGACTCCTAAAGGACCACTCTAGGTACCCAAACCACTTCAGCTTAATGAAGTGGTCTGGGTGCCAGGTCCAGCTAGGGTTAACCCATTCTTTTATAAACATAGCAGTTTCTCTGAAACTGCTATGTTTATGAATGGGTTAAGCCTTCCCCCAAAGCCTCTAGTGGCTGTCTCATTGACAGCCGCTAGAGGCGCTTGCGTGCTTCTCACTGTGATTTTCACAGTGAGAGCATGCCAGCGTCCATAGGAAAGCATTGTAAATGCTTTCCTATGCGACCGGCTGAATGCGCGCGCATTCAGCCGACGGGGAGGATCGGAGGAGGAGAGCTCTCCGCCCAGCGCTGGAAAAAGGTAAGTTTTACCCCTTTTCCTCTCCCCAGAGCCGGGCAGGAGGGGACCCTGAGGGTGGGGGCACCCTCAGGGAACTATAGTGCCAGGAAAACAAGTAAGTTTTCCTGGCACTATAGTGGTCCTTAAAGTCCATAAACCATGTGAACTTGGGAGCTCAACTACTGTGTTTTGTAGAGGCAATGTACCTTCTAAAGGGGAACAATTGAAAGACACTGTGTCACCGTGAGGGCCAACATGAAAGCCTCAATCAATATTTTTGACATTTTCCATTCTTTCTTCAATGGTGTAGTCTTCAGTTGACGGACACTTCCCCTTGCACTTGCTAGCAACCGAGCAAGAACGTGTCTGAGCCGAAAGTTTTATAGTTTTGATTAATTTGGGTTATACATTATGTTGACATATTTTGGCTCTTGAATTCTGGAAGTGAAAAATGTGTTGATAAATGTATTTCAGAATGAATGTGATCAGCTAAGCTTAATTGATTAGTATAAGATAAGGTCAATTTTTGTCAAACTCAAATGCCAAAAATATTGGAGAAGGTTTCATTGTGATCATATGAAAAATCTGTTGGCCATCTGAATATGTAGATAATTATGAAATGATAAATTGTAATGAAGGCCAACTTTTTTGCCTGAATACCTTCTACTAAGAGACATTTTAGAACACAAGTGAAACATTACTGTCTAGAATATTAGGGTTTTGTTTTCAAACATTGGGAGTTCTTTTCAGAAGACCGTGACACAAAACTGATGCCAACATCCTAACAATGGCTCATCAATCAATACTTTTTTTATTTATTTTTTGCTGTGCAGAGATTTACAAACAGTCATGTCGCGTCACTACAGCAGATGACAAAGACGCCATAATACGTTACGTAGAAACATAGAATGTGATGGCAGATAAGAACAATTTGGCCCATCTAGTCTGCACAATTTTGAAAATTATATTGACAGGCTAATAAACATGCTATGAAAACATTTCTAGATATGGCTTGTGGTAGAGGCTTATGCAAGAATAAAATTCATCCAAACAGTAGGTCATAAGCAGTATAATTAGTGATAATTAGTGATTTCGCGAACGGTTCGCCGCGAACGGTTCGTGGCGAACTCCGGTCAGCTGACACATCCCTGCCAATCTCCGGCAGACCCTCCCTCCCAGGCCCTCCCACCTCCTGGACAGCATCCATGTTGAAGCTGCCTTCAACATGGATGCTGTCCAGGAAGTAGGAGGGTCTGGGAGGGAGGGTCTGCCGGAGATTGGCAGGGATGTGTCAGCTGACCGGAGTTCGCCGCGAACGGTTCGCGACATCACTAGTGATAATTGGTGTATAGTGCAGAGCCTTGTCTCATTTGGTAAGGCAAGGCAACAGAGTAGCTTTCCCATAAGTACGAGGTAAAGATCGCTCAATTAATGCTAACGATGGAGTTAAGTAAAGATACATAAGTAAAGTTAAGACATATGCCAACTCCTGTTTAAGCTCTGGAAAACCTGAGAACTGTGAGAAGAGTGGTCTGAGACATGTTTCACCCAGGGGAGCCCCATGCTGAGGCGTTAATAAGTTGATTGGGATTAATTGTTGGCAAACAGGAGGCTAACATGAGATCCTAGCATGAACTTCAAAATACATGAAGTGAAACAAAAACCGAAAGAAAAGAGAAACCAAAATAAACATTAGCATTGCTCCCTGTTAGAGGTATACTACATGGTGCCAGCATCATTCAGCCTATGCCCTCCAGTGGTCTAGTATAGTCCCGCTTCAGTCTGCCAACTTTGAATGCCAAAGCCTCAATAATGGCCGGTGTGTGACCCCCAGATGGCGTGGCAAGAGAGGTCTGGTGGAAACTGCAATGAGTCTTGCGGTGTTTCAGCCTCCTGGGCATGCGTGGTATGAGGACTCTGACATGGGTCTTGCGCTGTGCTAGCCAACCCGATATGCCTCTGACGCTTCCATTTCGTTGGCAGGACCAGAGCTAATAGCACAAAGTGGATTCCGGATGGTAAGTCTTGGGGTAGGCTACCTTCTTGCCTCTGCGCAGGGGGCAGGTTCACGTGGCTGGTCAGGTCGTCCCAGAAGTCCTTGTTAAGCTTTGAGGGAACAGCAGCTGCTGTCGGCCAGGCGTGAAGCATCCGCCATTTTAATTTGGAATTTCTCCAGGAGTCAAGGGTTACTGGTGGCAGTAAAGGCCCCCAAAGGTGAGGACCAGGATCCACCCCCCTTGGTCTAAAGGGGGGGGCAACTGGGCCAGTAGCATGCGGCACCGAGGATCCGACCTGCAGTAATTGGGCAGGATAGCGGGGCGACAGCCGTCCGCCCCTCTCACTGCCAGAGTAGGCCTCAGCCTTGGGGACCAAGGATCTTCCTCCCAGGGATCGGGAGGCAATTGACAAGCTCTGCCTCGGCACCAGCACAGCTTTGCACCACACTCTGTATTTTATAGGAGCCAGAGAGGTAAATTTGTTGTTTTAGTGCGCTGTATTTTCAAAAAACTGCAGGAGCCACATTTTCATGCGACCACACTGCATGGCGTTCTACCCTCGACCCCATCAATTTTTTTTTAATTCTTTTTTTTGTTCTGCATGGTATAACAGTAGGCTTACTCAGCCACAATAGCAGTCGTAAGCTTATAACAGGCATCGTAAACATAACGTGGCATATAATAGTCAGCACGGGTTTTAAGTTTTGTTGTAGGGAATAGACTGCACAATTTCTTTGATAACAACAGGCATAGTACATTGTGGTAGCTTGGTAGTAGTGTGGTAGGGTACAAGGGGGACATTGCATCAGTCAGTGTATTAGCACTCCGATCAGTGCCTTCACGGGTTCCTGGTGATGTACGGTTGATTCATCACCTTAAGAATCGGATGGGTGCATGATGCTGCTTCCTGCTGGGGCCATCTGTCCCGATGGGGTGAATGGTGCTATGTTGACTATATCCCACCGGTGTGGTGTTTTTGTCTTGGCACCTTCCGTGGGGTGAATACCCAGTGCTTGCAAGAGATGTGGTGCTTCCGCCGGTGTTGTCAGTCGGTGGTTTTGACTTTCGTGTGTGGCAATCCGCATTCTGGGGTGGCCCTATCTATATTGTATGTCCACTGCTCTCAGTTATGTTGTGATTACCCTCATGGAAGCCCGCCACTGCAATGTTTGGCGACTCAGGTCTTGGAAGAAGTGCAAGGTTAGATTCTCGAAAGCGTACGGGGTCTGGCCCCTGGCAGCACGGACGAATCTGTCTTTTTCTGAGCGGGATTTAAAGCTCATGATGACATCCCTTGCGGTGTCTGGGGCATTGCTTGGGCACCCTGGTATGCAGAATAGGCTGTCTAAGGTCAGTCCTTTGGCCTGTTTGCAGCAACCTCTTTATGAGGAGCGTCAATTAGTCTGCTGTCACGGAGTCCGGGATCGCCCTCACCTTTATATTTCTTGTCTCGACATATCTTTGAGCTGCACCACTCGAGCATTGAGTTGTGAGCATGTGGTTACTAGCTCTTGTGTTTGCTTCACCGTGGCATCGTGCTGTGCTCTCAAGTCCTAAATTACCTCTTTCGTGGTTCACATGCGGCCTGTGAGAGTGCTCAGTTCCGTCTTGAGGCCAGCTAATTCTGCTGTAAAGAAGGCCTTGAGGTCAGTCCCCATACCTGACAAGTCGGCCTTAGTGGCCAGTGGTGGTTCAGATTGCCTTTTTGGAGCGGTTTGTTGCTTCCTATGGGCTGTCTGTGTCGGCACATCGCTCAGGTAGTCATCCTCTGAGGCGGATAGTGACTCCATCCCCATCATTTGAAAGACGTCCGCCATTTTGGGTCTGCAGACCTGGGATAAGAGTTGCCCGATATCTTGGGTATGTCCCGTGGACGGCCCTTACGGTTTCCGTGAGTGCTTCCCCATGTTGTACTGGCTCCCCCTCCCTCTTTCCCCGGCTTGTGGATGTAGATTTTTGTGATGTCGGAGCTCAGGATTCATGCCACTTGTCTGCTCGATAGCTAGCTCCGCCCCGACCCCCATCAATTTTAATCAATGGAAGGGCCACTAATTATTACCTTATGTAGGAGAAATTATAATGTGTTTCTTGCTCCTTTAGACTGACCTGTCCTTAAAACATTTTTTATTAGGAATAAGAAGAGATTGCGTTGAAACTAGTAAGAAAGTCTAGTAATTTCCGAAAATGTTTTGGGAAATGTCTCTTCAATACCAGCTTATGTATTTTGTGTCCATCCGGATGTTCATATATCAAGACTCTGAATTTTATCAATGCTTTACATTCCTTGGTTCTGCGCCAGAACTCAGATTTTGACCTTTTTACATTGCTTGCAGCTGTAGTCTCAGACTCTTTGTACAAACACAGTAATGGTTTCCATGACTTATGAATTATTTCACTCTCTTTTACCTTATAATAATTTATTTAGCTTAGTGATTCATAGGTTAATTCAGAGTACGCAGAGATTTGTGAAAACAGATTTCGAGAAGCACATTGGATTTAAAATCCTTCTATCCAACAGTATTTTAAAGAGGAACTGGCATCAATTTTTCTTGGTGGGGGACAAAGCAGCAGAGATATACAGAAAAGGCTCTTGCCTCTGCTACACTTTTACATTGTAAATAACTTTACCATAATGGCATTGTCATCTATAGAGAAGTGCCACACAAGCACTTCTGTATTAACTTAATACACATCTAGTTATAGGTAGGGCACATAATTGAAAAACCTTAAAACTAGTTAAATATTTTCAAAAATTAAAGAAACGTTATAGGGTCAGGAACACAAATATGTGTTCCTGACCCTATAGTGTTAAAACCACCATATGGTCCCCTACTTGCCTCCCTAAACATGGAAAAATCTTACTTGTATTCCAGTCTGCTGCTGCTGGCTCTGCCCCTGACCGACTTGGTTGGCTGACATCATCAGAAGGGATTCTCCCAGCCAATCACAATGCTTTCCTATAGGAAAGCATTGGATTGACTGAGACTGTCACGGAAGCAGATCAGGGGCAGCGCCAGTACAAGCTAAACGTAGGCCTGGCCAGTCAGCATCTCATCCTCCAGAATGTTAGGGAACAGGATTATGACCAAGCGATTTAATCGCTCTGAGAGCGATTTAATAGCTCTATTGACTTATTGCAGTGTTTTACTTGGGAGTCTGTATCTTTAAAGAAGCACTATAGGGCCAGGAACACAAACATGTATTCCTGACCATATAGTATTAAAGCCACCATCTAGCCCCCCTGGTCCCCTCTGCTTCCATAAATATAGTAAAATCTTACTTGTATTCGAGTCTGCAGCTCCTGGCTCTGTCCCAGTTTGCCTGTGAACCGCCTCTGTCTGCTGACATCATCAGAAGTGGTGGTCTGAGCCAATCACAGTGCTTCCCTTTAGGATTGTCTGAGACTGTCAAGGAGGCAGATCAGGGGCAGAGCCAGCACAAGTCAAACATAGCCCTGACCAATCAGCATCTCCTAAAAGAGATTAATTGAATCAATGCACCTCTATGAGAAAAGTTCAGTGTCTGGATGCAGAGGGTGGAGACATTGAATCACAGTGCTGCTCATTGTGCAGCAGTATCCCAGGAAGCACCTCTAGCAACCATATGAGGATTGGCCAGTAGAGGTATCCCTAGGCCAGTCATGTCCAAAATCCGTTCCAGTTTAATACGGCCCCACAGGTAGTTTGACTAATCTACCTGTTGTGGCCCCCAGTTAGGGATTCACTGGGGGTCAAGAGATCGCGAGAACGCAGACGGACATGCAGTGACCTCAGTCTGCGTTCTTTCGATCTCTTGGACGTTGCAGGATCTCGTGGACATCGTGGGATTGCGCCGCTCAGGACCTCTGGGATCTCTGAATCCAAAGCAGCGCTCAGGGATTCACTGGGGGTCAAGAGAACGCGAGAACGCAGATGGACGTGCAATGACCTCAGTCTGCGTTCTCGCGATCTCTACACATTGCAGGATCTCGTGGACATTGTGGAATTCGCAGGATTTGGTTCCTTCTCCCTGCTGGGACAGAAAAACAGAAAATGGACAATAAAGAGGAACGGGGCAGAATAAAGAGACAAAATAAAGAGATCTCAGAAAGAATAAAGAGATGAAATGAAAAGTATTCCATTTGCAATAAACTTTGCATAAAATAGTTAATTTGCATTAAATTTTAATGGTTCAAAGAATGTCAGGCAAAAAATGGTCGGCCCTTGCGCATTTCACTTCATCAAATCTGGCCCTCTTTGAAAAAAATGTGGACACCCCTGCCCTAAGCTGTAATGTAAACACTGCAATGTCTCTGCAAAAAG